GTTAAAGTATATGCGGTGGCCATCGCCTATCATCGGGGTATGGTGGACGGATCGTCCATTTTCTCCCAACCTACTATTAAAAGGTTTTTGAAGGGACTTTATAATCTGAACTCGTTGATCGGACCAGTAATGCCCACCTGGAGTCTCTCTGTTGTTCTGCAGATGCTTATGAGAGCTCCTTTCGAACCGTTGGCAACAGTCGATTTACGTCTTGTCTCATGGAAAACAGCATTCCTAGTTGCGGTTACCTCAGCCCGGAGGGCCAGCGAGCTCTGTGCTCCACGCGTAGACCCACCTTATCTCAATTTTCATAGAGAAAAGGTTGTCCTGCGGCTCGATCCATCTTTTCTGCCTAAGGTATCCACACCCTTTCACATGGGGCAAGATATTATTTTACCTGCCTTTTTTCCGGCTCCATCTACTCCATTAGAAAGGACACTACATTCACTTGACATTCGGCACTGTTTAGCGTTCTACAGATCCAGGACTGAGTCTATCCGACGTTCACATAGACTTTTCATTAAATATGCTACCAGGGGCCAAGGCACCCCGTCACTCCGCAGAGACTTTCTAAGTGGATAGTTCATACCATCACCTTGTCTTATCAACTGGCCAATATCGACTTGCCCCCTACCCCTTGAGGCCATTCAGCTAGGGCTGTGGCTGCCTCATCGGCCTTCGCATTGGGAATACCGATTGATGATGTATGTAGAGCTGCTACTTGGGCGAATCCTTGCACTTTCGCCAAACATTACCACTTAGATGTCCGTGCTCGACAAGATTGTTCCTTCGGCAGAGCCGTTCTTTCATCTGTTCTTCGTTGAGGACACCTTCTCTCCTCCATTATGGTAAGCTTGTTAATCTACCCATATGTGTGATGCACAGAGGCCACGACGAAGAAAAGCAGGTTGCTTACCTGTAACTGATGTTCTTCGAGTGGCCATCTGTGCAGTCACACAACCCACCCGCCGGCCCCGCTTGGTGTCGGTGAGTGGACCTTTGTCATTATTGAATGTTATCATTGTTTCTTGGTACCGATATTAATTGTTCTCTTGGTACCGATACTGTTCACAGTAGAACTCATTTTACAAATCATTTTTTCCACATGAGGGCATCCGTTCGGTCGTCAAAGACTGAACAAAATGGTGGGTGCTCAGCTCTTTATAGGCTGTGGGGGAGGGGGAGCGGAGCTTTCCCACCAAAATAAACCGTTAGCTTGTAATCTTCCGGCCAAAGGCACTGCGCAGGCGCAGCACCCATATGTGTGACTGCACAGATGACCACTCAAAGAACATCAATTACAGGTAAGCAACCTGCTTTTCCTCTTCACTTTCTGCCATGAGAGTGGTATCATCTGCATATCTGAGGTTGTAGATATTTCTCCCAGCAATCTTAATTCCAACTGGTGATTCATCTAGCCCCGCCTTTCTCATGATGTGCTCTGCATATAAGTTAAATAGGCAGGGCGACGGTATACAGCCTTGCCGAACTCCTTTCTCAATTTTGAACGAATCAGTGGTTCCGTGTCCAGTTCTCACTGTTGCTTCTTGACCCGCATATAGGTTTCTCAAGAGACAAATAAGATGGTCTGGTACTCCCTTCTCTTTAAGAACTTGCCACAATTTGTTGTGATCCACACAATGAAAGGCTTTAGCATAGTCAATGAAGCAGAAGTAGATGTTTTTCTGGAACTCCCTAGCTTTCTCCATGATCCAGCATATGTTGGCAATTTGGTCTCCAGTTCCTCTCCCTCTTCAAAATCCTGCCTGTACTTCTGGTAGTTCTCGGTCCACATACTGCTGGAGCCTAGCTTGTAGGATTTTGAGCATAACTATGCTAGCATGTGAAATGAGTGCAGTGGTGCAGTAGTTTGAACATTCTTTGGCATTGCCCTTTGTTGGGATTGGAATGTAAACTGACCTTTTCCAATCCTGCAGCCACTGTTGAGTTTCCCAAATTTGCTGGCATATTGAGTGTAGCATTTTTACTGCATTGTCTTTTAGGATTTTGAATAGCTGAGCTAGAATACTGTCCCCTCCACTAGCTTTGTTGTTGCTCAGACTTCCTAAGGCCCATTTGACTTAACATTCCAGGATGTCTGGCTCGAGGTCAGTGACCACCCTATCGTGATTATCAGGGACGTTAAGCTCTTTCTTGTATAGTTCTTCTGTATAATCTTGCCACCTCTTCTTAATCTCTTGCCTCTGTTAGGTCCCTGCCATTTTGGTCCTTTATCATGCCCATCTTAAGCTCCTAAGTTATGGAATGCGCTCCCCAGAGAGGTCCGCCTGGCGCTGTCGTTATTTGTTTTTCGGCGCTGGGCGAAGACCTTTTTATTTAAGCGGCATTTTAATTGTTAATATTATTGGATTTTATCTGACCAGGGCGGCTTATTTTATATTGGTATTTTTGTATTTTTAACTTAATGTTTATATTTTTTAATTTAATGTTATAATTATTTTTTAACTTATTGTTGTAAGCTGCCCCGAGGCTTCGGCGAATGGGGCGGCATAAAAATGTTTTAATAAATAATAATAAATCTTTGCATGAAATGTTCCCTTCATATCTCCAATTTTCTTGAAGCGATCGCTGGTCCTCCCTATTCTATTGTTTTCTTCTATTTCTTTGCACTGTTCATTTAAGAAGGCATTCTTATCTCTTCCAGCTGTTCTCTGGAATTCTGCATTCAATTGTTTGTATCTTTCTCCCTTGCCTTTCGCTTCCCTTCTTTCCTCAGCTATTTGTAAAGCTTCCTCAGACAGCCATTTTGCTTTCTTGCCTTTCTTTTTCTTTGGGATGGTTTTAGTTGCTACCTCTTGTACAATGTTGCAAACCTCCATCCATAATTCTTCAGGCACTCTGTCTATCAGATCTAGTTTCTTAAATCTATTTGTCACCGATACTGTATATTCATCAGGGATATGATTTAGGTCATACCTGATTGGCCTAGTGCTTTTCCCTACTTTCTTCAACTTAAGCCTAAATTTTGCAACCAGAAGCTCATGATCTGAGCCACAGTCAGCTCCTGGTCTAGTTTTTACTGACTGTATAGAGCTTCTCCAACTTTGGCTGCAGAGCACATAGTCAATCTGATTTCTGTGTTGACCGTCTGGTGATGTCGATGTGTAGATTCGTCTCTTGGGTTGTTGGAAAAGAGTGTTTGCTATGACCATCGTATTCTCTTGACAAAATTCTACCAGCCTGTGCCCTGCTTCATTTTGTACTCCAAGGTCAAACTTGCCTGTTATTCCAGTTATCTTTTGGCTTCCTACTTAAGCATTCCAATCCCCCAGGATGAGAAGGACATCATTTTTTGGAGTTAATTCTAGAAGGTGCTGTAGGCCTTCATAGAACTGGTCAACTTCAGCCTCTTCAGCACCAGTGGTTGGGGCATAGACTTGGACTATTGTGATGTTGAATGGTTTTCCTTGGATTTGAACAGAGATCATTCTGTCATTTTGGAGATTGTATCCCAGTGCTGCTTTTCCTGCTCTTTTATTGACTATGAAGGCTACTCCATTTCTTCTGAGGGATTCTTGCCTGCAGTAGTATACCTGATGGTCATCTGAATTAAATTCACCCATTCCTTTCCATTTTAGTTCACTGATTCCTAAGATGTCGATGTTCAGTCTTGTCATCTCTTGTTTGACCACATCCAGCTTGCCTTGATTCATGGATCTTACAGTCCAGGTTCCTATGGAGTATAGATCTTTGCAGCATTGGACTCTCCTTTTACCACCAGATTTGACCCAGTCGCTTCATTCTTTCTGGCGCTACTAGTACTAGCCCTCTGCTCTTCCCCAGTAGCATATTGGACACCTTCTGACCTGAGGGGCTCATCTTCCGGTGTCATAACTTTTTGCCTTTTGGTACTGTCCATGGGGTTTTCATGGCAAAGATACTGGAGTGGGTTGCCATTTCCTTCTCCAGTGGATCACGTTTTGTCAGAGCTCTCTGCTATGACCTGTCCATCTTGGGTGACCCTGCACGGCATAGCTCATAGCTTCATTGAGCTATGTAAGCCCCTTCATCACGACAAGGCAGTGATCCATGAAGGAGGTTCTTCAGTTATTTAGCCATAAATGGATATTCTGAAAAAGGGATCCTTATGCTTGCAGTTGCATGTAGGTTCTGATCCTATCTAGTTTTTGATGTAGGAGATTTGGTTCTGATTGAGAAACCCAATCATTAGTCTGTATAAAGAATGGTGGGAAGGATCCAAAATGTTGTGCTGTAAGTTTTATGCGCCTGGGAACTAGCCATATGGCAAGCAGCTTTCAAAAGCATTTTTCAATATGGCAGGCGTAGGGTATGGGAATCACTTCCTAGTGTGGAAAAACATGAAAAACCTCACAAGCAAGCCTTTGGGCATACTTCAAGTACCTTACTAGTTCCCAGCCATGCATTTAATTCAGGTAGCATCATTTGTTTAATTCTAGATTGTTTCATCATAGGTTTTGAACAAGGAGGTCATGGATAGGCATTTAGGAGAACTTTCCTACATGGGATCACCATAAGTTAGCAATGACTTGACGGTGCAGAACAGCAGCAGCATTTGACTCTATCAGCACTTTTTCACTTGGGGCAAAAAGTGTTCCTTTAACTCTTAATTCATATGGCTTTGGTATTCTCAGTATTGCATTATAGAACACTAGTATCTTTTATGCACCATGTACATGGCATGTAGTGTGTTTTATGCTTGGTGTTTCATACATATTGGCTCAATACTATAAAATATCCCTAAAAGATCAAAGCTTGTAGTCTCTCTCCTCCCTCCCTCCCTCCCTCCCTCCCTCCCTCCCTCCCTCTCTCTCACACACGCACACACACACACACACACACACACACACACACACGGGGGGAGAGAGAGATTGATTGATTGATTGATTGATTGGAGTCCCCAGTGGCAATAACATTAATGGTGAGGAAGTACTTTTGGAGATCAAACAATGCTTCCCTGTGGAACCAACTGACAATTATTTTCTTTTCATTTTTGGTAGAACAAGGCTTAGATCACATAGCAGAGAACATCTTATCCTACCTTGATGCCAGGTCGCTGTGTGCAGCAGAGTTGGTTTGTAAGGAATGGCAGCGGGTTATTTCAGAAGGCATGCTATGGAAGAAACTTATTGAGAGAATGGTACGAACTGATCCACTCTGGAAGGGGCTGTCAGAAAGAAGGGGCTGGTATGTATCTGTGGACAACTTGCACACATTCTTTCTTAATGCAGAAATACTTCTAAAATATAATGGGCACATCTGGTTGGATTGGTCAGTAACAGGGTTCTCTTCTTGGTAGACTAGCCCGATCTTCCCAGGCCAGGTTTCATCCAGATGTGTTTAGACTGCAGTTCTCCTATTCCCAGCCAACAGGTCCACTGATAGGAATTATGGGAGTTGCAGTCCAACACATCTGGAAGGCACCAGGTTAGGGCAGGCTACACCAGGCCATGGCAAACACTACTTAAAAGTTTCTGTTTGTGTACTCAGATTCCCTTTCCAGTCTTTAGCCATTTTGCTTCTTGACTGTCTTTCTGTGCTGTAAATAAATATCTGTAAATAGCAGCTGTGCCAACTGCCTCAAGTGTGCATTTTGATTAGGTGGGGGCATCTCTTCAGCTAAATGTGGACATTGTATCTAGTCTACAGGGTAGCACAGACATTGGAGTTTGTCCACCAAAATAACATTCATCCTTTTGCATGCTCGCCAAGTTACAGGAGGGGCGATGCAGGGCACAGGTCCCCCAGGCACTGTTCCGCTTCTCCCTGGCTCCTGCTAGAGAAGCAGAGCTGGGGCTGGAAGGGAAAGCCAAATGGGAGGCAGTGCAATCCATCCAGCCACACAGGCCCATTCCTCTGTAGGCCTGCTGCAGTCACCCATGTTATTACCGGCAGGTAAAGTTGAGCTGCAGCCACTTGTACTTTTATGAGCAACAGGGTTTGGCTCACAGGAGGGTAGGCACGGAGAATTGGGCACATTCGCTCTACTCCTTGTTTATTGGTGACATAGCAGCACTCAGTGTACCAAGTAAGCCAGTTTAATGGTGCTGCCTCTAATCCTTAGTGCATTTTGCAAGGAATTTTGTTTCTAAATGCAAAGTTTCACTGCTCTCTTTTGTTCTTGTTACAGGGATCAGTACCTGTTTAAAAACAGACCTACAGATGGCCCTCCTAATTCATTTTACAGGTCGCTGTACCCAAAGATAATACAAGATATAGAGGTATGTTTTCGAAAACATTGTTGTAAACTATATTGAGCCTGGAGCTGCATTTTCACACAATTTTATTCTTACACCATGTATTTTTAAATGAGTTTTTGTGGCATAAGGATTTTAGCTTTAATAAATCTTGGCATCCTAGCTGCCTTGGTAAGGCTATTCTGGTAGAATGGGTTTTTTAAAGTTGTACGAATCGGTGCTCATGGAGTCAATTTAAGATTCCTAGCAATGTGAGATTAAGCAAGCACTATAAAAAAAAGAATTGAGAAATACAGTACAGTTGAAAGGGTAAATAAATATAGTATATGCAAAACTTACTGAGTTTCAAGAGAACAAGCTATTGTATGTTATATCAGTTTGAAGCCTTATATACCACAGCTGTCCACAAGGAACTGTTTTGCACATGGTGGTTGCTCCATTTATTTTAATGGAGGCAAAAGATCTTTGTGTGCATTCCTTTTTTCTCCTGTGTGGCTATAGGAACAATGTGTATATCTGTGTTTCTGTGGGCAGGAGAGGTATGTGGATCAGAGCACATACGAACTGAACAAAAGAAGAAGCTTTAGTATTTGCAGCTCTCTTTCTCCACTATCACTACTTGGCTTTGCTAAAAACAAATAAGTACAAAAATATTTGTTAAAATATTTTGATCCTCACATTTCTCTTTGGAGTTTTATTTAGAATACAGTAATATGACCACTTACATTCCTTGTTCAAGCCTGACAATCAGGCAATGTACGCCTCAAAATTTAAGATATGAGAATTTCTGTTCTGCCTCAAAACTGTGTTTTTCTAGGGGTTAAAATATGGTAGAGCACAAAAAGGAGAGGAGTGCAAAGGAAGTGGAGCATTGTTTTTTGCCTCTTGTCTGTCCTTCCCAATAGTAAGAGTCATGTGGGAAGTTAACATGCATGCTTCCATCCTAGCAAACTATTCCTCTTGGCTGTTTATTCCAGCTGTTGGAATACAGAATTGGAATACAGAATTGCACTAATGCAGTATGCTGATGATTCACTGGATAATTCTGCCAGTAATGTGTCAGTGTTGTACACCCCCAGGATTGCATAGGGAGAATATTTTCCCCCTATACAGGGAGGGAGAAACTTTAAAACCTGCCTTTTCATCAAATACTTAGACTATTTAAAAAGGGAAGATTATTTCAGAGGTATTACTTTAGCAGCACCCAACTGGTAAGATTGCTTCTCCTTTCTGGGGAGAATGTTTTTTAATCTTCCTGTGCTTGTAAAAAGAGCCTGGGTTCAGTTTCTAAATAAAAGGATGTTTGCTTGGTTTTTGGACAATGATTCCAGTTGAATCAAAAAAAGTATGGAATTATATTAATTTTCAAAGGTACAATGTTGTAAGGTATCTAGGATCTGTAATGATCTCTGATACCTTGTTTGTGCTCTTCTCTTCAATTTTCTAGAGTCATCATTGAAAAAAATATATAAATATATCTTCTCCTAAGCTGCTTCATCAACATAACTATTATACTAAATGACTTTTCATCATACTGAGGTCATTTAGGTCAATACCATGGATATGCAGTGTTTCGTTTTCTCCCATTAACTATTAAGTGGCATCTGACTCAGTCTTTCAATGAAACTGATTTTTTTAAGCATCATGGGAAGGTAGTTTAAAGCAGTGTAGAACTGATCATGGGACACACTGTGCTAGATTGAAAGACGCGCATGACAAAGGCTCAAGGAAGCATTTGTTGGTCCCATAGTGTTATGTGGCATACCACCTGTGAATTTGAGGGGAGTTCAAGAGTGATCTGTGCTATGGTAAGGAAATATGCTGTTCAGAGGAAAAAGTTACTAATTCTACTGGACCTGCCATGTGGAAATATAGAAGCAAAGATTAAGAAACAAAGCAATCTGTTGGCATCTTACAAGACACACTTACTCACCTAGTTCTCCTGTAACACTAGCACATGGTTTATTTGACCAATGAGTTGGGGAACTCAGGATTGTTGTGATGTGTGAATCCAGTCATGTGAACAAATCATAGTATGTTAACCACAAACAACCCAGGAAGAGAGTACATGGTTTGTTGTTCATTTTCAACTCTGGATTGGTTAAACCTTAAGTTATCATCTGTGAACTCAGAGCCTTGAGTTATTCCTAGGTTGTTTTTGTCAAGCTTCAAAAGTGGCAGGCACAAATGATTAAACAAAAAAATAAAACAGATCCTGGAACTGAGTGCTCTTAACAAGCTCAATCCAAACATTTGTATATTTTCCCCTGTGAAGATTTGTATTTTTAAAGTGCAAGAGCCCAGGTTTTTAGAAAATTATAATTCCAGTAAAACATCTAGTAAATGTAGAAGGGTGTAATTGTCATGTGTGTGGAGGGGAGTTAAAATTATTCTCTTAGTGTGAGATTTTAGTAAACTCCCCTGCAATGCAAAATTTGGTAAAAATCCATTGCAGTGGGAAGGTATGATTTGCACACAGTTCAACCATAAGAAATCGTGTGTTTGATGTTCCCATTACTACCAATAGAAAATTGACTGTGGAAAATGTAACATACTCATCTTGTCTGAAGGATACTTGTGTTTTAGAGCATCACATTTGTACATAAGTAATGCCTTTCTGGTTACAAGTTTTTGCATTAAGGGACAACTTAGTGCAAATAGTTTTTATTATATCTATTGATGGTTTGGCATTCTGTTTTTTACTATTTGCAGCCTGCTCAGTCCCAGTGGTTTCAGTCAGATCTCTAAGAACAATAAGAGAAAATAAACCAGACATTTAAAAATGCTGAAAACAACTTTACATATCTCCCGTCCTTGCATGCAGGGGTTGGGGGGGGGGGCGGGGAAGGGTTGGTTGGTTGGTTGGTTGGTTGGTTGGTTGGTTGGTTATTTATTTATTTATTTATTTATTTATTTATTTATTTATTTAGCAGACTTATATGCCACCCCATTCGCCTAAGCCTTGGGGTGGTTTTCAAAAGGTATTCAGATTTGGCAGATTTCCAGAAAGCAAGAGTCACACAATTGTGGGGCAGCTATTCTTGTTCCACATTTTTCCTTACTACTAATATGAAAAGAAACTGATTATTTATTGTGTTACATATATCTTAACCATGATGACAGGGACAAGTTAGCATAGTAAAAAAAAAAAATCAAACATAATCCAAGGTTGCTTTTGAGTCCCATTAAATTTGAGACAAAAATCCATGCAGCTCTAGCCTGTGCCTTCTCCAAGGTCATGCAAATTGGCAAGTTACCTTGCACCTTTACAGCGGCATGTCTCTATTCCACAGAAAGCAAGTTGTAAAAACACAGTATTGATGCCTAAAGCTTCTCAAAAAAGAAAGAAAGAAAGAAAGAAAGAAAGAAAGAAAGAAAGAAAGAAAGAAAAGAAAAAGGACCCAACAATCTACAGAGTGGGGTGGGGAGACAGTTTTTTAAAAGAAGGGGTGTTTCTCTACTACCCAAGTGGTGAGCAGTTGAGTGCAGTTGTTTAATAAGACGTTTTATTGCATTCAGGGTGGTCCAGTAACTGCTGATACTGCCTGGATCCATTGTGCTGACCTGCCAGATTTAAGAGTTTTAGGAATTCCCTTAAAGGGAAGACTAGTTTTGAGCTCTTCTCAGGAAATTTTATTTAGGTATGCAAAACTTGATTTTGTGGAAATCTGACTTGGTTCAGTTAATCATGTGCTTGGACACTGTCCCAAAACAGTGTAGTACAGTTTGAGTCTTATTAGCAGACTGTGTTAATAGGCAAATTGCCAGGTATACTGTTGATCCCCCCACTCCAAATCCCTGGGCCTTTTCTATCTTACGCATGATGCCTGGCCAACTGCTTAGTTATTCCCTTAGAATTAGTACAGATATAATATATTCCTCATGAGCAGTTGCAAACATTATTTTCTGATCTTATATCTTGTAACCCCCCTCCAACTGCCCCTCCACAGCCCTTCCCCATGCAGCTGTTTTCTGCTTTTATTGTGGGAAAGATTTTGGGGTGGGGGGAAGTGGCTAAGACCAGGCCAACATGTAGGGGGAGAAACGTAAAAAAATTGATCCTTATTTGCTTCCTTTAAAAGCAATGAGATGAAGCATGGATATTTTCCAATTTAAACATTATTAGATTGCAGTGGCCAGGGATGTAGGATCATTATTCACTACATACGTGGTGCCTGCTAGATGTTCCAGATTGCAGGTGAAGGATAAACATGACTGCATGTTTTTCCTTATTATTAAATTTCAGTTTTAATCTGCCTTTATTCCTATTGCAAGGAACCCAGGCAGCTGACATATGACAGTAGCAACAACCTTCCCTGCACACAGAAAACTAGCATAACAGGAAGAGGACCAGGCTAGAATCCTTGTTTCTAATATGCATGCTTTCTTGAGGGAGTGGCTTATTGTCTTTTCTTTAGGAGGAATATTCTGTCCTGTGAACACTCAGTTGTACTGAATTCATTACCCCGCATACAGGCTTTCCCTGGATGCAAACTTCCTATCTTCAATAGGCCAGGTTGCATATAATGCCAATTTGTGGCTTATTTAATCTAAAGATTGGGAGCAGGGAGTGGGAGCAAGCAGGCATGCTGCCTCCCACACTCTACTTTTTAATTAACATCCTATCATCTGGCCTTGCTCCGGGAACCCTCCTTGAAGGAGGTTAGGAGAGAGAACACCTGGAGGAGGGCCTTATCTGTGGTGGGCCCTGGCTATGGAATGCGCTCCCCAGAGAGTCCCCTGGCACCAACATTATATGCTTTTCAGCACCAGGTCAAGACCTTTTTATTTACCCAGTATTTTAAAGTTTAAATATTTTAATTATGTTTTTATCGCAGTCGGTGGTGGTGGTGGTGGTTATCAATATTATTATGATGATTTTATTATGTTATATTTTTGGATTATTATTGTAAGCCATCCAGAGATGTGCAGTAATTGGATGGGTTGGAAATTCCCAAATAAAATAAAATTCCCAAATAAAATTTATTTATTTATTAAAAATGTTTTAATAAATAAATAAATAAATAAATAAATAAAATAAATCATCTGGGTGGTAGAATGAGTGAACCTAGAGCTCTGGGATGTTTAGAGGTTAGATAATCTAACTGTTAACCTAACAACAAGCCATAGGTTAACTACTCCAAGACAATGCAGCATTTCATATTTGCATGTCATGCTCACAACCTACAACCCATCCAATCATAGGTTGTTGATTAAAACCAAAAGTGAGGAGGAAACAGCCCATTTACTTTTGCTCAGGCACAACAAATTCTGAGTTAATTAACCCTTATGTGCAAACCAGGCCAGTGAGACTTAGGCCTAGGAATTTTCAACAATTCTTCTTTAGTGTAAATGTCCACAAACTCCCACCTTGCCATGGGGACTGGGTCTAGCCTTCTGAAGGCAGTTGCTCTAACAAGTTGTAAATTATACAACTGAAATACACACAGCCTAGGGCTGTGGGTACACCATACTTAAAATTAATTAAGATCTATTTCCAGTCAGTCCAGACTTGTCAGAAACTGGATTCTACGACCTGTATAGGGTGTGCTAGATTTTTGCATAATATTTGTATAATTCTGCCTTTAGTACTGTGGAATAACAGTAAATGAAGGAGGTATGTAGGACACTGGTGTCCTCTGCAGTTTTTAATGAGAACAGAAGGTTAGCCTGTGCCTTTAGGGCAAGGTCATTTAGGTTTCCAGAGGTCATAATCAGCATCTCAACATGCGATAAAAACTTAGTTGTCTGGCAGCCAGTGCTGGCTAGCTGTGCCCAACTCCATCTAAAGATCAGGCCATGGCTTAGTGGCAGAGCACCTGCCTTGCATGCAGAAGGTGCCTGGTTCAATCTCTGGCTTCACAGCTGATGCTGGGACATTCTGGAGAGCTGCTGCCACTCCATGCCAACAGCTCTGGGCTGGATGAACCAGTGGTCGGACTCTGTATAGGACAACTTCCTGGGTGCCTATATCAGGATTCAGTAATAACCAAAGTTTCTGAACAGTCTTTAGCAGAAGTACCATTTAGAACACATTCCTTGTCATCCAGTCAAGCCTATTGTATTTAAATGAGCAAAAGCGAAAGTCTGAGAGAAAGAAACTGTGACCTGGTTTGCAAGCTATAATAGCAAAAATGTCAGTTCAGGCATTGACACAGTGCTCTCTGTGGCAATCTCTGGGGGTGGGGGCACATATAAGTGAAAGGCATGCACATGGGCCATGGTGCTCCTGGTTGTCAAACCCTCAGTGTCAGGCCTGTTCCTGTTGGAAAGGGATTTCATAACAAATGCCCAGGTAGATGGTGCAAAGGGTTCAACAGGCCCCTTTACTGAAGGTCCTTCCAAGTGCCCACCCACTCAGCTATATTTAGTTCTCTCAAAACTTTTTTCCTCTTTGTAGTCTCCTATGTTTTTACTCCTGCCAATTTCTGTACAGCTGTATACTTTTTGTGTATTGTGGCGACTTTCCCAGCATACTGGCAACTTACAAAGTAAAAGGGATTTTACAAATTCTCAAAAATATGAAATATTTTCCCACAGTAGCAACACCACATTAATGTGTGTCTGAATTAAAGCTGTGCACCTGCATGAATCTTACTGGTTCACAGCCCCCTGGCCTAGGGATGAATAACACATTCCAGTTACTTTGATTTGCAGCCCACATTTACTTCTGGTAACTTTATAAAATAACTTTAAAAAATGAAAATTGCCCCAAATGGAAAGCATTTTCCTCTCTAAACACTCCACTAGAATTGTTTTGACTAGGGTTTTATTTGGTGAAACTGGCTCTTACATGCAATGCCTCAAGAATTAGTGACATTCCAAAATGTTTGGACCAATTCAGGTGATGCCCACTTGGCCAATTTGGGCAGTTGTAAATAACTGAAAGTATATGGACATAAGCACTGGCCATTAAAAAGTCTCAACTGAGCCTCTGTATTGCAAACACCCATCCACTGCAGCGGGTAGATTGTTCAAAGCATCATTCCTCAACCTGGCAAATTGACTTCAAGTTGCATCGGGCCTTGCAAT